GTGGTGTGTGTAGGTGTGTGTGTGTGTGTGTGTGTGGTGTGTGTGTGTGTGTGTATGTGTGTGTGTGTGTGTGTGTGTGTGTGTGTGTGTGTGTGTGTGTGTGAGTGTGTGTGTGCATGCGTGTGTGTGTGTGAGTGTGTGTGTGTGCATATGAGTGTGTGTATGTATGTGTGTGTGTGTGTTGATACTTACTTGATGTTGGTCTTTTGTCCCTCCAGTCTTTGAGTCAGCCTGTTTAAGTAGTATAGGAGGAGGCTGAGGAATGATTTCCATGGGAGGCAGCCGGCCATAGCACCAATGGCTTGTATTGCCTCATGTTGCAGAAAGTCAACCTAAAGCAGGAAAAGGAACAACATTTAATAATGTTTAAAAGAAATATCTACCTTATCATTCAGACCATTCAAGAAGATATAAGGAAAAAATTGTACTAAAAAACATCTACTTCCAAAAGATACAACTTCAGTAGAAAAGTATTAGTTTGTTACAAGTTTTGCAAAGAAAAATTAATGCCGATCTAGAGATATTAGGGTGTCAACATGGCTGCTTTTGGGTTTCAATTTTTTATGAAGTATAAAAACTTTTTCATGATTCAAAACTAAGATCTAAGTTTAAAACAAAACCAGTTTTCTAACTGTTACCTACCTACCTACCTTGTCCCTAATTTCTAATTTTTAATTTCTATCTGTTAAAGAATTAAAAAAAAAGAATATTTTTCTGATGACCTTGACCAGTTTGGGGTTGTTGAGGATGAAGCTGATGACTGGCAGGAGGAAGGACTGAAGGATGCTGGGATTGATAACGCCCGTCTTGCAAACTGAGATCAGCCGACGCAGCGCTCGCGATCGTCTGTGGTGCTGTAGGGAGAAATTAACAATCAATCAATCCATCAATCAATCATTCAATCGATCAATCAATTGGTCAATCAATTTATCAATCAATTGATCAGTCAATGGACCGTTCAATCACCAATCGATCAATCAATCGATTGATCAATCAATTGATAAATCAAGCAATAATTTAACAGACATTTCAGATAACATCCATTACCTTTCGTCAGTGAATATTGTAAGTTATATACTTCAAATGTTCATTCTTACATGTAGTTACTGTCCAATGACTGTTGTTGGGAGGAATTGGGCACTTTTAAAGAACTTTCTAGATTTACTGCAAAGAGTATAGTGTTTTAAGAAAAAAAGCTGGAGGGTTTTATTCACTTTTAATCATATGGCTGTTCATAGTTCAACATACCTATTATATATAAAAAGTATGAGTCAATTTGGCTGCCCGCATCTTCCGTTTTGTATGAAATGATTCCAGAACAGGTGTGTATAGGTCTAACAATGGTTCATTGATTGTTGATTAATTTTTTATTGTTACATTACAAACTAAGGAACGTACCTGTATGTGTGTGACGTTCTGGTAGAAATCTTTCTCCACATCTTCGTCTGTCAGCTGAGCCAGACCCTGGAAGTACTGTCTGCTGGAGAAGGTTCTGACTAACTCTGCCAGTAGGGAGACTGAATCCTGGTGCACAGACTGTGGGGGAACAGTTTATATAGGCAATCATAGCCTAGCAGAATCATACAGTACTGCAGCTGGGGAAAGTCCTGACTAACTCTGCAATCAGGGAGACCAACTCTGAATTTGCCAAGATTTTAGCCTTCCTAAAATTCACACTTGACATCGATTACAATTTTCCACCTACATGGAAGGCATGGTGGAACAGGCTAAGTACACCTTTTCAAGGCCACCATGCCAACAAAATTGGAAAACAATGAAGACATTTTAAACAAAAGATATCCTCACCTCATTTTTGGACCAGAGTCCCTTCCTGACCAGTGGCAGTATCGTCTTCTGAACAACTTTCTTGTACTCCTCCAGGGTCGAGTCGGCGGCTTCCATCTTCTGCAGTACCTGCGTCACACAGTAGGCGGCGTTGCTGCGCAGGGAGAAGTCCTCCAGCCTCAACACAACATGGAAGCAGTTGTGGATGACGGGCAGGGCAAAGGTCGTATCCAGGGTAACCCAATCCTTCATGGTTTGATTGACACATTTGAAGGCAGAGAGTCGCGTGTCGTAATCTGGCTCCTCTACTCTTTTCCTGTCCCAAGTGTTCAGATCGTGGATGATGGTGGCGATTTCTTTCACAGATGGGTCCCTTTCTGCAACCACTGCAAACACCTAGAGAACAACAATATGTGTTACAAATGTAGTACTGGATGGTGAAGTTATACCCTCACTTCACTTCATCTGAACAAAATAAAACAAAACAAATTTCAAATAAAACAAATTTCAAATAAAACAAATTTCAAATAAAACAAATTTCATCATGTAACACAACACCATGTCTCTCACCATGCCATGGTGAGAGACAATCTGCTTTAGGTCATTGACCAGATCAGAGGTCACTGTTTGGAGAAGAAGAAGAAACTGAGCAAAATTGTGTTTTCCTTCTGCTACGGAAAACATAAAAAGAGGATGCCTACCTGTCAGCCCTAGTTTCTTAAGGATTGAAACTGGAAACACCATAATTTTTCCAAAGGCCTATACATGTAAGTATAACAATTATTAACAGCAGCCGAAAATTCAGCACCACTGAGAAAACTGTCCCAAATCAAAAGCTGTATGTTACCACGGTGTTGGAAGCTGTGTAGATTTGACAAATCATTCTTATCTATTCTTCCTCGATCCATCAGACAATTTTTTAATTTTAAAAATTTTTTTACCGTTTTAACGTCATTTCCCCCCCGAACCGGGGGTTAGACGTGCATGCACCAAGTACAAGTCTTTTTGTTCAAGCAAGATTTTTACGGCTGGATGCCCTTCCTAACGCTAACCCAAACCCTAGAAGGGCCCAGGAACCCTCTAACTGAGGGGGGAAATAGGTGTTAAGTGCCTTTCCCAAGGGCACAACGTCTGAGTGCATGTCCGGACATGTCTGGGTCCAACCCTGGGGATTGAACCTGGGTCTTCTTGCTTGACAGTCGGATGTTCTATCCACTACACCACACAGATGCCACAAAATATCTAGTCGAATGGATATTCAATAAAACATCAAAACATCAAGCGACAGTTTTACCTTACAAAGTTCCTGCCTCGGTTCTCTACCTTCCAGGCTGGACAACATGGCCGCCAGTTGTTCCCAGCATGCTTTGGGGTCGGGGACCTGTCGGACCAGGTTGCCAACGGTTACCAAAATGTCGACCTGCGCGCTGTGGTCGGTGATGGCTGGTCTCCTGTTGAGAGGAAAATTAAAATACGTTATCAAACATTACATTACATTATCAAAGGTGTCATATATATATATATGGTGGCTTTTTAAAACACCATGATGCTAGTTCTAATTTGCCAAAAAACAGTTACTCAAGCAACTGGATATGATTTTGAAAACGTCAGACGTTTCAGCTAGTATCCACTAGCTTTCGTCAGAGAGACCAGAGGGGAAAGCAGGTTTATAAGTACAACCTGTTGGTTGATATGCAAATAAAGTGAAGACAAATTTTTTGGAAGTCGAAAAAGGAACACAAGTCAGACAAGTCAAGACAAGATGATGCAAATTAGTCTGAAAGCTCCTGTTATACAGGACAGGAGCTTAAGTGTTGTCTGTCCTCGGGGCTGGGAGTGCCAAATCCCAAGTGCCGGAAAGATCGACCCGTAGCCCCCCTTCCCTGTTGAGGGTGGGGTTGTACATTCTTTCATATATTGCCTCTTTAACACCCCGTTCCCACCAGCGTGTTTCGCGGTCTAAGACATCCGTGGACTCGAGTTTGAAAGAGTGACCCTGGTTGTGTTGTAGGTGGTGGAAAATAGCTGAGGAGTAGCCGTTGGCACTAGGTCGGCAATGTTCTTTGTACCTTACTTTAAGCGGTCGACTTGTCTCTCCGATGTAGGTGTTGTTACAATTGGGCTCCTCACATTTGAGTCTGTAAATAACATTCGCCTTGGTACCCTTGTGAGGTCTGTCCTTAGGGTGTACCAGTCTTTGTCTGAGCGTTGAGTGAGGTTTGAAGTTAGTGGCTATGTTGAAGTTTTGGAAGATCCGTCGGAGTTTCTCAGATACTCCTTGGACATACGGAATAGTGATGTTGGCCTTGTTTTTGTTGGTCAATGGTTTGCACTTCTGGGTTTTCTTAGATTGATCTGAAGGTTTGAGCGCTTTGTTGAAAGTCCAGTTTTGGTAGCCACATTTAGCCAGGGCACCTCGGAGGTGTCTTTGTTCGTCCGTTTTGGCTTGGTCTGAAGTGACAATGCTGTCTGCACGATGGAAGAGAGTTTTGATCACTGCTAGTTTGTGTTCCAAAGGGTGGTGGGAATCAAAAGCCAGGTACTGATCAGTGTGGGTTGGTTTCCTGTACACTTCGAAACGAAGGTTACCATCTTCCTCTACGATAGTTTTGGTGTCTAGGAAAGGGAGCATGTTGTCATGGCTTGGCTCCTGTGTGAACTTGATGTTGTCATCTATCTGGTTGATGTGGTCAAAGAAGTCAGCAGCTACCCTCTTTTTCAATCTGCACCAAGTGTCATCTACATATCGAAACCAGTTGGCCGGGGGAGTGTCATTGAAAGTGCTGAGGGCTTTGTTTTCAAACTTCTCCATGTACAGGTTTACAACAATTGGTGAGACTGGTGATCCCATAGCACAGCCGTGCATTTGTTGGTAGAACTGTCCTTTGTAGGTAAAATATGTGCATCCTAAGCAGAGTTCTAGTAGCTCACAAACTTGGTCAACGGATAGGTTGGTTCTATCTGCAAGTGTATCATCGGCTTCCAAGGCTTCCTTGACTACTGACACTGCTTCCTTAGGTGGTATGGAGGTGAAAAGTGAGCACACGTCATACGAAGTGATGGTTTCATCATCCTCTACATGAATGTCTTTGATTTTGTTGACAAAGTCGGCACTATTCTGTACATGGTGCTGAGATTTCCCCACTAGTGGTCCTAAAATCTTGGCTAGAAAACCTGCTAACTCATAGGTGACAGAGCCTATACTGGAGACTATGGGTCGTAGAGGGACACTTTGTTTGTGGATTTTGGGAAGGCCGTAGAAAGCAGGGGGTTGTTCCGTTGTGGGATTGAGTTTTAGGTAGGTGGGGCGATCCAGAACTCCTTCAGTTTGCAATTTCTTGAGAGCTGAACTGATTTTCCCTTTAAACTTGTTAGTGGGGTCCTTTTTCAAGGGCATGTAGGTGTCTTTGTCTCCCAATAATTTGTCTTCACTTTATTTGCATATCAACCAACAGGTTGAGTATATAAACCTGCTTTCCCCTCTGGTCTCTCAGTCACTGACGAAAGCTAGTGGATACTAGCTGAAACGTCTGACGTTTTCAAAATCATATCCAGTTGCTTGAGTAACTGTTTTTTGGCATATCGTATTACCTGGATGTCTAACCTTCATCGACGTACCTAGTTCTAATTTGTTCACCTTTTGTATGGTTCTATCAGCAAACAATACAAAATACACACACAGAGATTCAAAATTAGCCTAAAATTCAATGCAAAAACAATGATAGTAGATCACAAATGAATAAGACGCTGAATAGAAACGTTTTGGTGACTGTTTTTGGCGACTTAGCTTCAAACTACTTTATGTTGATGAAAGATTCTGCCAATCAGAGTATCTGATTCTGGACCGGCCTATTTGACCAAAGGGTCAAAGTTGACCTGACATTGACCTCTGACCTTCATTGACCTCTGACCTTAGGTAAGGAAGTAGCAGTCCGACCAGCATGGCACTTTGTTGTGGGTCCTCCACATAAGCACTGATCCTCGAGAGGATGTTCAGCTCCGACATAGGCAGCTTCTGTCTCCCCCCCGCCTTCCCAATGGACTGGACCGCTGACCTCAGGTGACCCAAGATGGCCGCCACGTGGGGTAGGAGAAGCCGGGTTCCAATTGGTGCTTCAGCTTCTGTCAACAAAGTTTGAAAGAGATCTGAATAATCAAGTTTTAGTTCCATTGTATATGCCCTTTTCTGTTAAAATTGCAACTAAGGGTACTTTTATTCTCTTTAATAATGTTTTAAAGCTTAAAAATTAATTTCAATTCAGCATCAAGGGCAAGTGTGTTTGCCTGTGTGTGGATGCTGTTCAGCATCAAGGACAGGTGTGTTTTCCTGTGTGTGGATGGTGTTCAGCACCAAGGACAGGTGTGTTTGCCTGTGTGTGGATGGTGTTCAGCACTAAGGACAGGTCTGTATGTATGTATGTATGTGTGTGTGCGTCTGTGGATGGTGTTCAGCACTAAGGACAGGTCTGTATGTATGTATGTATGTATGTATGTGTGTGCGTCTGTGGATGGTGTTCAGCACTAAGGACAGGTCTGTATGTGTGTGTGTGTGTGTGTGTGTATGTGTGTGTGTGTGTCTGTGGATGGTGTTCAACACTAAGGACTGGTCTGTATGTATGTGTATGTTTCTGTATATGTTTCCATGTTCAGCACCAAGGACAGGTCTGAATTGAAAGTTTGCACACAGAGCCTGCGATCGCCCTTGTACCTTTTCCCGACATTCCCCCACGCGGTATCGTACATATTGGCACTTCCAGTGGCTCTATGTCCGCTGTGTCCTCTGACCCCTCCGGCAGCAGCAGCAGGTGACCTATGACCTCCATCACCATGGCGACCACAGATGGGGCAGAGGTCGGCGTGAAGAATGTTGCGATGATGTCATCGATGAGGTTAATGTCTAGTTGGTCAGGTCGGGACTTGGCCAGCAGAGAGTGGTACCTGGGAGGGGGGGGCAAAATTTGTTTGTCGTACAATTTAGTGCAATTTTCAGTGAAGCAATGATGAAATTAACTCCCTGGCATTTTGACCAAATGCTGACGTCACATATCCTCACTTCACTCAGGTGTAAATGAGTACCTACCTTCGGCTAGGGACGTCCCTCGGATAGGACATTAAATGGAGGTCCCGTGTTTGGGGAGAGTCACACCCCACGCACGTTAAAGAACCGACCACACTTATTGAAAAGAGTGGGCTGGGACCTTCCCGGTGTGAGTGGTTCAAACCTTACAGTCTGGTCTCAGGTTTGACCACTTTGATGAGGTGATAGTCGCCTGTTATGTCAATCCTTCCACAAATGTGGTAAATCTTCATAAATACATATTATTTATCAAATGAATAGTTCAACGTAAAGTCTTCTCTCACCTGATGTTCTTACTCCACTGGTGCACTAACCGCAGAAGGGGGGTCGGCTGGCGGATGACCTCTGACCTCTGCTGGTCGAGCTGCGGCCAGACCGCGCCCAAAAACAGAGCCTCGATCTCATCCACACTAAAGCTGTACTGATCATGCTGGTGGAACAACTCCAACAGTCTGGGGAAAAAACAGAAAACAGACCTTAGCATGGTGTAGCCAAAGTTCGTCGGAAGTCAGTACCGCCCCCTGTCGCGGTTGAGTGAAGGTTGGTATGAACAAACGTTGATTGGTATGAACGAACATGCCATCACTGGGTCACCCTGTATGAATATGACAGAAAACAAAAATAAATAAAATAAAACTAACAAAAGAATGTCACTACCCAGATTTTGCAGTACCAGTAACGTTTGTTAGGACTGACATATTTGATGCTACATGCTACACTACAAGTCCTCAACTAACATCCAATCTGTTCCCAAATCTGATGTAATATTCCGCAACAGATTCTTCCACCATATCCGGGTCAGACTGTACATACAGACATATTTTTTACTGCTGTCATTGTGTGTATTTTTTATGTTTTACATGGGAAAGTGATGCCTGAAATAAAGAAATAACGTTTTTTTTTGTCACTGAAAAGTTTTTTTCAGTTAACATTTTTTTTGTTCTGTCACAGTGACTGAAAAATTGTTTTTCAGATAAAACAATTTTTCAGTGACAAAACAAAAAAAAATTATTTGTTTGTAAGAAAAAAAACAAAATAAAAACAAACAAAATTCCCACCTCCTCATAGCCAGCGTTCTGACCTTCTTAACAAGCTGCAGAAGGTTCTTTTTGACAAGATGGCGGCTGTCCAGGATACGGGTGTGGCTTGTCACCATGGCAACCAGCAGGCGGAACAGCTTGGGGACATAACCTTGAAGAAGGTTCCCCATTTTGTTCAGCAGAACTGGAGAAGGAAAAGGGATGGGATGGTTTAGCAGAAATGTATGACTGTATGTATGTATGTATGTAAGTCCCATAGCCTTCACGGCCGTAGGGGCATCATGACAGCCAGCAACATGTCTGGACTTGTCACGATGACTCCTCAGGCTTATAATCTTGGCAGCGCCTATCTCCTCTCCAAGATTAGCAGAAATGCCTTTACCAAAATAAATGCTCAACCAAGCAATCGTTATCACTTTTTTTTACTTCATAGTTAACCACAAAACAAGGCTAATGAGAGCCACTCAAAATGTTTTGGGTTACAGCACAGCCAGTGAGGACAGATGTTTGTTGACCTTAGACTTGAAAAGACGGTAAGAGCGATGGGTTCTTTAATGTGAGTGGAGTGTGGCTCTTCTCAAATATGGGACTTCCATCCATTTATTGTATTGTGAGGGATAGAACAACACAACAGAAGGAAATGTTGAAAAATAAAAGCGCAAATAAAATTACCACATGTAACTAACAAATCATTCCAAAACCTGTTTTCCCAGAAATGTAAATGTTAATCCCAGCAATGGGACTAAGCAGAAAAGAAGAAGGAAAACCAGTAAGTTATGATATAGAAGACACCCCCTACCCTGTACTGTTTCCAGAGATCCCTGCTACTTGCTGAGTGGAATAACAGCAGACAGTATTGCTGTGCAAGCACGTCTAACCCTCGGAAGACGGGGAACAACAGACGATAAACCGGACAGTGAGTGAGAGTGAGTGAGTGTACCTACCCTGTACTGTAGCCAGCGATCCTTGCTGCTTGCTGAGTGGAATAACAGCCGACAGGTCCAGCCTGGTCACCTCCTGTTTCACCAGATCTGCACACGAAACTTCTGCAGGGGAACAAAACAAAACACGTTGGTGAAGGTTAGACATCCAAGATACGCCAAAAAGCAGTTACTCATTACAGACAAGTATAACTGGATATGATTTTGGAAACGGTCAGACATTTCAGGTAGCATCCACTAGCTTTTGTCAGTGACACTTAGAGATCAGAGGACAAATGCAAGTTTATAAGCACAAACTATAGTTGATTGATAGGCAAATAGGTGAAAACAATTTTTTGGAAGTCCAAAAGGAAAGAAAAGAATTAACATATCAATCAATAATAGTTTGTGCTTATAAACCCGCATTTCTCCTCTCAGTCACTGACCAAAGGTAGTGGATGCTACCTGAAATGACTGTTTCCAAAATCATATCCAGTAACTATTTTTTTGCGTATTACTTGAAGGAACCTTAAAAAGCTAAGTATGCACCTTAAGACATAACTCACCTGTGCATCTTAAGAAATAACTCACCTGTAGACATCAGGTGAGAGAATGGAGCTAAGATCATCTCCAGAAAAGTCTCCAGCTCGTGAGGAGTGCAGCCTCCCAGGAACCTCAGCACCAGCGCAGTCCTGACCTTGACCCCCTGCCGACCCTGCGTGCCCTCTCCCGTCTTGTGCTGCATACGGCCATAGAGGAGTCTGGGAAGAAATGTGCACAAAATGTAAGGTCTTTAAATTACTTGAATAATATAAGATAGCCTAATAGTATGATAAGTAAGGTTTAATGACCTGCCCTGAGGTGAATATGGTGTGATAAAGCCTTGGCAGTTGCTATAACCACCGAATAAAGCCATCGAGTGAGCGACAGCTTCTGATTGGTCAATGCCACCTGGCTATATGATAATATCTGATAGAGCAACATCCTTCAAATACAAGGGCTACTTGTGTAAATGCTGGATACAAGAGTTCTCTTTTAGTTGTATTTAGTACAACTACAGACTATTTAGGTAAAAAGTTTTGTTGTGTAAAAGAAAACTCTCAATGTATCCTACACTTTACCAATGAAGCTATTTTTGGAAGGTTGTGTAAAATGTTGTATTTTGCTGTAATTTGTAGTCTGCTTCACTTCAAAGGTTTCAAAGCATAATTATCTTAATCCAGAGTAGTTTACATCTAATTCAATGTCTATGTCCACTACCTGCAAGAAGAAAAAAACAGATTCTGTCTTAGATTGTAAAGTTCAGCTGCCTAAAAGGGTTCAGTTACATGTATATCAGAGGCAACCCTGACGAAACCTACACTTCTAACTGCAGATGATTTTCTGAGCCAGCTTTTCTGGTCAAATCTATGACCCTAACCATAATTCTAACTCACGATCAAACCCCAACCCTAACCCAAACTAACCTGAAGAGCACAGGCAGTAGCCCCTCTCGATGTTCCTGCTGAACTGTGCTGCTCTCCTGGTCAATACTGAAGAGAGTCAACTCTTCTCTGAACTCTTTGTCTTGAAGAAGTCTGGAGGAGGGAAGAAAATGTTTGAGACATGTTACTTGTCTTGGAAAAACTGAGAGTATACCTTGGATAGGATGGTAAGAGTCTTGAATCATACAAGTAATTAGATGTCTAACGTTTTAGTAGCAATACAAAGTTCAGCCATATTTGTCATACGCAATACAATGTGTCTCATTGACAAATAGATGTATACACCCCCATGAAACTCCTTCCTCTTCGCCCCCGCCGTTCTGCTTCGCCCCCGCCCCGTTCTGCTTCGCCCCCGCAAAAAATCTGCTTCGCCCCCGTCGTTCCTCTACGCCCCCGGCGCAATTCTGCTTTGCCCCCGTCCTTCTGCTTAGCCCCCAATGGCGGCACAGCTCACAGTCGACACGAAAATCGTCTGCAAAATAACAATAAAGGCTGTGCCGCCAAATTTAAAGTAGCCCATGCTCCGGCAAACATTCTGGACCACCTTTCTGCCAAGTGGCGTTGCACAAATCCTTCCCATTCAAAAGTTTACCCCTACCTCACGGCCCGTCAGTGGTTCTTACGTTTATAAGTACTGGCGGGAAATTTCACTCACGGCTGTACTTATAAACGCCAGTACTTATAAACGTAAGAACCACTGACGGGCCGTGAGGAAGGGGTAAACTTTTGAATGGGAAGGATTTGTGCAACGCCACTTGGCAGAAAGGTGGTCCAGAATGTTTGCCGGAGCATGGGCTACTTTAAATTTGGCGGCACAGCCTTTATTGTTATTTTGCAGACGATTTTCGTGTCGACTGTGAGCTGTGCCGCCATTGGGGGCTAAGCAGAAGGACGGGGGCAAAGCAGAATTGCGCCGGGGGCGTAGAGGAACGACGGGGGCGAAGCAGATTTTTGGCGGGGGCGAAGCAGAACGGGGCGGGGGCGAAGCAGAACGGCGGGGGCGAAGAGGAAGGAGTTTCATGGGGGTGGTATACAACCATATCAAGAAATGCCTACCTGTCTAAGTTGTCGGAGTAAGGGGTGAGGTAGGGGGCCTTGTATGTCATCAGGCAGGCCAGGGCAGACCTTTGGACGTCTTGCTCCCGGTGTTTCAGCATTTCCAAGTACAGTTCCTTCAATTTCGGCTCGAGATACAAACTTTTTGGGTTCTTAAACTTGGAGAACAAGGTCAGGTGTACCACAAGTGACCTTGAGGCTGCCTTTCTCCTTGTTCTTGTGACCTTGTCAGATGTTGAGATGTCTTCAGCTGTGATGTCATCATCATCATCATCATTGTCATCTTTCTCTTCTGATTGGTCAGTTTTGTTATTCAAACCTGTACCCTCCGCTCCTGATTGGTCAGGTTTCTTATTCAAACCAGAATCCTCCGCTCCTGATTGGTCAGTGTCCATGACATCATCAGTCCTGTCCTCCTGGGGTTTCCTGATGTCCTGTGCAGGGGCGGCTGCAAGGTCTGCTGGGTAATACTCGTTATCAAAGAATTGGAAGAGAAGCGGGGACAAGTCTCGCGATTTCGGTTCGCATTTGTCGGGAAATTCCGCCATAGCTTGCCACAGAAGGTGGCGAAAGTTGGTGTGGTCCGGACTGGAGGGATTGGAGATGGCGTCTTGGAATGTTTGTTCAAAGAACTCTTCTGGGGAGTCGTCTTTCTCTTGTAGGGCATCAGATGGAGTTTCCCCCTTCTTTGGCTTGTAAAGGTCTTGCTCTGAAGGAAAAAACAGCAAAAAATTAGTCTAAGAAAATTTGCAAAGCAAAATTTGTATTATGTTTACCTTCACATGGTCTAGCCTAACAAACTACTGCTCTGTTTCTTCTTACTCAAAGAACATATTCATTCAATAGACATATATATGGTGACCAGCCCCTCCAACTCTGTCCTGCCATGTTGCTACATAATGTAATCCAACACCACAGGGTGTCTGCTACAGCACCAGTTACCATGGTGACAGCCGGCTGGTCCAGGTCATTGAACTTCTTCACTCACCTGCCCACACATCACACCTGTGACACCTGTAACACCTGTGACTTACCTGCTCTCTCAGCTGCTTGCTTCAGGTGTTCCCTCCACACAGACCAAAACTCCTTCAAGTCCATTCCATGGGCGTGGGATCTGTTAAGAAAACATAGCAGAGAGAAAAATAGCAACTGTGTTACAGTAAATTTAGTCAGCAGTGCAAAGTAAATCTTTCATTTTATCAACAGTAACTCTTGGATATTGCTTGATTACATGACTTTGTACACCACTTTGACAGTACAATACGAAACTTTGTCCTAATTTAGATTTTTTTGTTGCTTTATTGTTTTGCACTCACATAATAAAATAAAACAATTGAAGTTCAGTAGACATGCGTGGGGGGGGGGGGGCGAAAACCTGATGGTTCATCTTTGGCCCTCCCCAATACTACAAGATTAAAAGATCTAATAGATGTAAAAGTATGTACTCTGGATAAAATAAAGTTTGTTGCTGTTAGTTTTATTGTCAAGGTCACGGAACCTACTTGATAAGGTCGGTGACTGGTTTCCATAGCAACTTCATGTTGACGTAGAGCTGGCCAATCAGACACCTCAGAGCAACCTGGGAGAGGGAAGGTATCCATGATGTCATGAAATTCAATACAGTGATTTGTACAGTATTTTTCCATCTTTTTATTCTCAGACAGTTATATTTCATGAAAGTGATCAATAATAAGCAAAGAAGGAAACAATTTAATGGTTGCATTAAAAAATATCATAAATTTAGACCCATATACATGCTTCATCGTGTCCTGTTAGTTCATTAGTTACGCTGAAGAAGAGTGGTGGATATCTTGAAATTCCAAGATTGGTAAAACTCAAAATGTCAGGATATTATCTCTGTAATTTATCCAGTAGTATATATATATATATATATATATATAGAGTTTGAATTTCCTATGAGTAAGTTTAGACAGTGTACAAAACAATATCATGAAAATATAAAATTCTACTACTTTTTCATAAAGAGTTGCAACATTTATTGCAATATAACAAAAAGTTTTCATCCACTAAAAATGCTCTCAAGAAGGCCCCTGAGGACACTGCTGTTCTTACCTGTTGATAAGGCCCCTTAGGTACACATCTCCTGACCGTATCGAAGTCCAGTCTGTTCAGGTACATCAGTTTTTCTCTGTACTGCTGAACACTGGCTGGTGTTTCTTCTGCACTCAAACATGTCTTAAAGACAGACTCTCTCGCGTCTTGGAACTCTTCTTCACCTAGTTCAAGGTCAGGAAGCTTGACCTTGAAGTTGCTGAGGAGTCTTAGAGTCAGCAGTCTCACCTGGAAGGAGAAGAAAGAAGTGTCTTGCTTCACGTTAACCTTTCCTGTGACTTTGGTTGTATCAACCACAGGATTCTCACCAGGATTTTTTCACAGCATAGGGGTCAGGTACAGAAGGACAACTTTTGTGCATTGAGCTGAAAAAAATTGAAAGTCATAACCCCCCGAGACACTATATTTCCCACTTATTGAGAGAAAGATTTGTGAAGGTTTTCCCTTTGCTGCTATTGCTTCATTCCAAAATTATACTTTCATTTTTTTCAAGATTTATGAACTCAAGGCTCTCCCCTCCCAAAACACATTAGTATGAAACTTTGAAACTTTATTAGAATAACCATTAGCGGTTAACCACTAGGGTCCACCGCTAGTCTTCCTGGTATTCATTCACAGAGACAAATTGAATACATTATACCAAATGAATATAGTTGACATTTAAAACTAGACAAGTCACAAACACATCTAAATCAATAACATATTTACAATATACATAATTTAAAAAACTGACAATCCTGTCGAACAGTGCTTGTAACTACTGGTGGAGGTATTTGTGCAAACCATCCTTAAACACTCTCAGGGATTGTGTGGATTGCATGACAATTGGAAGGTTATTCCACACACTAACAGCCCTGTACATGAAACACTTCTTCCGTGCGTTGGTTCTAGGTTTCTCTAACAGAAAAGACTGTTTAGCAGCAAAACGGGTTCTATAGCTATGCAAGTTGTTGACCGAACGCAGTTGCCTACTGATACAAATAGGTGCGTTTGTGAGTGTTATTCTTTTAAATGTTGTCATGGTGTTTATTAACAATCTCGTGTGCACGGGTTTCCACTGTGCTTCGACTGAAACAGACGAGTTGCCTTGTTCTGCATTCGTTGCAGAAGGTTTATGTTAGTTTTTGTTGTGCATGACCAAACTGGGCTGCAATAATCAATGTGAGATAGTACAAGGCATTCTATTACAATTTTTAACAATGTTTGATCCATAAAGTGTGCGCATCTTTTGATCATCCCCAGTGATCTAGCCATTTTCTGTATGCTGGCAGATGCTGGTTGAAAGACAGCATAGGGGTACAAATCACAGCATAGGGGGCTCCTATGCTCAAAAGGCCTTTTGAGAACACTGAACCATTTGAGACTATCAAAATAATGGATGTTTTAAAGCTTGTGCAGAGGAAAGGATGCCTTGAAGTGCATATTTTCTTCCTTACCTTGCCTGCAGGGTTGGACAGGTTGGGCTGAAGGTGTGGGAAGACGTCTTCTAAGACATTCTCCTTAAGGATCTCCTGTCCTGACGTCTCGTGTCGTCTTGCCGTCGTGAAGAAGACATCTGCCGCCCAGAGAACAGAGGGGCTGCTGGGATAGGTTCTGCAGGATAGGATTATGCGAGAAACTGATTTATGATTATTCAGACTGAAGAAATCTCTAAAACTGGAGAAAATAAACAGCTAGTACTATGTATACACTTTTCAAATGCCATGCTATTTTCAGTTTTAGGTGTGTGTGTAACAGTCAACGTTCATGAAAATGATATTTAAGAAACAAATTATTAATATGTTTTAACAGTATAAATCCGGTGCAATGGCCAAGTGGGTAGATCGTTCACCATGCATTCGGTAGGTCGTGAGTTTGATCCCCGGCCGAGTCATACCAAAGACTTTTAAAATGGTACATACTGGTTTCTCTGCTTAGTACTCAGCTTTTGGGAGCTGAACACACACCACTACCAGTGGACTAGCCCCCTGCTGTTAGTAGTGATTGCACAACTGTGTGGCACAAGGGCTTCTGAACCAGAGATGGACACTGCCCCATGCACCACCTGGTGCGAGAAGGACTTAAACTTAACTGATCTTTGAAACAAAGTTGTAATCTGACCTGAGTAACTCCAGTAGGAGACCAGAACACTGTGGTGTGAGACCCTGCTCGGGTGGACAGTGGTGCAGTAGAGCAAACACAGCCTGGGAGAGCAGGTACAGAAACTTCTCTTCTGGAAAAAAACATATTTTTCTTCATGTTTGTCAACCTAGAGAAGGCCTTCAACAGAGTGCCAAGACAAGTGTTATGGTGGGCCATGAGGAAGCTGCATGGGTGTAGAGGAGTGGGTTATCAGAGTTGTACAAGCCATGTACAGACATGCTGCATCTTGTGTACGTGTGAATGGTATCTATTCTAGGGCCTAGGAAAAAAATTGTTGTTTCCTGTTTCAGTCTTGAAAAAACTAGGGTAACAGGCGACACTTTAATTCCGGACAGACACTCTAATTCCGGACTACCTCTCACTTTTCAAGTATAGTTTGTCCTGGACAATTGACATTCCACATGGTGACGTAGAAGATGACAACAACTATGTAGATAACAGTGATAGTTCCCTAGGGATCCAGTTATTTCTGCAGATTTCTGCAGAAATCTGCAGAATTCTGCGCAGAATTCTGCACCCCGCGCAGATTTCTGCACAGAATCTGCGCTGGGTGCAGAAATCTGCGCAGATTTCTGCGCAGAAATCTGCTTTTTAAAAGATTTCGTACCGTACTGTCCTACAAAATGTATCATTATGGTGATAAGCGGTAGATTTACTGTCCTAAAAATGCTACTATCAGGTTACATGTATTTTGGGCATAACTTGTCGGAAATGCATTCAATTTGGCTTGTGCCTAGTGCGCTGCTATTTGGCATGGGGATAGCTTTGCACTGTATGCTGTTCTTTTCGTTTCTTGACAAAAATTGTGATCTTTAAAGTAATTTATGAAGTAAAACAATTCTCCACAAAGTGATGACGAGCTATACACATTACAGACGAGGACATACAACGTAACAGACGTTTCGTTTGAGCTATACAGGCAAGCATAAGACCAGATCCTGTAACCAGGTAGCCTGAGTGTTAGCCTTTTTATCTTTCATCTACTTCCCACTATGCTACCCGTATAGAGAGTGTGGGGAGCGGATGAAAGCTACAAAGGCTGACACTCTGGCTAGTAACCAGCAGTATCAGTTGAATGAACCATAAGGGAAATTCCATTGACACACAGGGTGAAGATTTCTGCAGAAATCTGCAGAATTCTGCAGAAATCTGCAGAATTCTGCACAGATTTCTGCGCAGAAATCTAAATTTTTAAAAAGATTTCATAAAATACCCACAAAATCTATCATTTGTCCATACAGATGTTACTACAATGTAGCTTGATTTGGGTAAAAATTGTCAGAAATGCATATTATTGGCTTTGTTCCGCTGCATGACAACCCAATGCCCTGCGATTTGGCATTGAGATAGCTTTGCACTTTTTGCTTTTAATTTTGATTTAGGCTAGCAACTTCTATTATTTACCTTATTGCGGGTAAAATATAGTACAAAACATATCTTATTCCACATGTACATAGCTTCTGTGCCACTATATCATGGCTCGATGACACCCTGAAATCAAGTTTCAGCCCTTGGTTACAAATGTCTCTCCTATCCCACTTTGAAGTTCTGCAAGACTCCCAGACTGGATGTCCTCGGGATTTTGGGGCCGTGTAACGGTTGGAGCAGCTGCTGCACCATCCACTTCCCCAACCAACTTTCTTGCTTTTTCTTGTCCGACCATCTCAGCTGATGGCTGTAGGCCAGGGCTTTTTGTGGGTCAATACAAGAGGATACCTGCTCTGGTTATCTACAATTGATTTGTCACTATTTAGTCAATAAGAGGAAAGAAAGAAGAATAAAGCCTTGTTAGAACTTGGGACATAATGGGACATGATTTTAGTAGTTGAACTGTACTGTGAGACTGTGTTCAAACGCTAGACAACTACCCTGGGAAGAACTTATAACCAAGGTAGCTCTGGGTGCTACTGGGTTTGTGTAACAATTTTCCATGCCCCGCCTCCACTCTTATCCAAACAAATTCAGGGCTTTTAATGTAAGTCTTCACAGTAAGGGCCCAGAGAGCCCCTCCTGACCACCAAACTGTAATCACTACCACATGTTTTCATAGCTTATCTATCTAGCCACAGAGGAGACCTCTAGACAATAGTCTCAGGAGAACAACCTTAAGCCTGCATGGCCTGTGTGTAACTCAACCTTTTCACCTGTAGGTATTTCTTCCCCAGTTGTTCGGGAACGTGATGTATTTCCATTTGTGCTGCTTTAAGTAAATGGTAAGAGATTGATAATTTTCTTGAAAAAATTGAGATCTCTTAAGGTAATTTTTGGTAATTTAAGGTAAAAATTACTCCACTAAGTGATGATGACATATGCACATTACAGATTTGAAGATACCAGGCTAGGACATACATGTACATGTACATGTCACTGATCTTTTGTTTGAGCTATGCGGGAAAGCGTCCTGTTAAACCAGCTAGGCTCTCTCAGGCCAGACTAACCAGCATCAGTAAACCACAAGGGAAATTTGACATTCCATTGACTCAGGTCATGCAAGGGTCAGGAATATCTTCTTTCCTGTCTTGTACCCTCCTAGTGCCTTTCATAATACACGTAGTATCTTGCTGCAGGGGAATTGTTTGCAGTTTATGAGTGTGTCTGTAGTGTACATACCGGTACATGTACAGTACTCTCAAGAAAGCTATATAAAATAACTCCAGATGCATGACAACAGTCATTGCAACCTTACTTGACATCGCCATACTTCTGGCATGTTTAAGGCTAACATGTGATACTGCAATGAAGAGTTAAGAATTGAATCAAATCCCCACATGGTCCTATACGTGGTCCCTCTGATTTTCAGTTACCTAAAGAGAGCCCTTGGAAGCACATACAAGAGAGTGCTAGTGGAGAGCCAAGTAGATTAGCCAAGTAGATCTATTTTTCTGTATTTCTTCGGGGAGGGGGTGATGACCTGAAGGTAAATTTTGTGGATAAGTCTTTTTCTCACAACTAGTAGTATCTACTAGAGTCTTTGTAAGTTTCTTCACTTGAGCCACAAAACCACATTGTAATAAGGGTTAGCCAGACATTTCCCCACCAGATCATACGAAATACCAAAAGAATAAAGTAGCACTTGAAGACAAGAAAATGAACTTTTCCTCTGGAAATTATGAAAAAAAAATTGTAAAAAAACAAGGGAGAGGAGTGAATAATTGTCTTGTCAGGTGACGTTCACAGACATGCAAGTTAAAACTGACAGTGTGTACAATAGAAATATCTGCTGTAAGTTAGAACAAGGGCACAAAATTCATTTTTAGGAATAGACACTGGTGCACCTAAGCTAAAAAATTGGGTGAACAAAAATTTTTTAGGTGCACCTAAAATACATTGTAGTACCGTGCAGTGAGTGAGTGCACCATATAAGATAAAATAAGTAGAATGTCTGCAAAAACTATAATTATGTTTCATTCCAAGAAAAGTACTATAATGATGATTGAATTATTTAATATGCTGTCACTACTATATGTATGTGCCTGAGAAAATATTTTAGTGCAAATAATACCTGAGTGCACCCACACAAAAAATTGGGTGCACAGCTCCAAGGTGCATTGCACCCAGCATTTTGAGCCCTGTACATGTACATTGAATAGGCAAGACACTGAAGCAAGACCTACAGTGTTGCAGTGATCCATTCTGGCAGACCAGATGACCCAGCCAGGCCTGGTTTTTTTCTCTCCCTGGGACCCACACTGATTGAAAGAAAACATTCACATTGCTCTGCAGACCAGGGTTTGAAATACAACACTGAAATCCTTTCCCCTATATTTTGCTCTCCTTGTTCAAGGTTGTTAATGGGAGTCCTGGAGGTAGCCTGGGTTCCAAACCCATAGCACACTGGACACAAAGGTGGACTCTGCTGGGGTTAGCTCATCTTATGCACAAAGTCATGTATAGGTGGTCAGACAAAAACCTGTTGTAATGAGAGCATGATGGAAAGTACATCTACATGTACATGTACATCTTATAACATCTCTGGTAACCAGTCTATGGTGGTTTATATATATATATATAATAGGGCCCCATTCTAGCTCAACAGCCCTGGTAGAAGTGCTGTAGGTTTGTAGGGAACCGCTGAATCGGGCAGAAAGAGCTCCTGCAGCCCCCAAGAGTCAAGAGAACCCGCCAGACCATGATAGACTAGGATGATTTGAACTGGATTTTCAGAGACCCCAAATATGGGATCAAACAAGATGTAACTTCATCCCTGAAAAAACATCTGCCTTGCCTCCTCAGTCTGACCTCGAGGTTACCCCTCCTCACTGGGACAGGGGGAGCTAGAGGTCAGACCTTCAGGTCACAATTGTGTACATCACAGTTTGGATGTTACAGAAGCTTAGCTAGCTATTATTAATAAGCTAGCCAGCCACCTTGTGCAAATAAGTTTTCACTCTTCACATACATGTATTTTTGTTTTGTTCAGTTCCAGTATTCAATGTTATGAACAGGATCAGAGGAAGGTGTGATACTAGTACTGGCAGAACTAATCGTTTTCCTCAGTTGGACGGTCCAAGAGATGACCTACATTTGTATACATGAGGGCCTGCATGCCCTTTATTGAAAGGCGTAATCTGGCCTTTTAGTCTCCCTAATCCGTAGGCACTGCCTCCCCAAAAGAGGAATCCCAGCGTCC